TACTAAAACATACAAATGTGAATGTTCACATCACTACATTAGATGAGAGAAAATGTTTTCATGTTGTGAACGTTCACATCATTACATATTGTGAATAAGAATGTGTTGTTAATTAAAAATATAATGAATGTTATTTTTAATGTGTTGTCAATTAAAAATAAAAAGGTTCACATGTTGTGAACGCTCACATCGCTACATTAGATGAGAGAGAATTTTTAGGAAAGGTATTGTGAACGTTCACATCAGATGAGAGAGAATGCTCACATTATTTTTAATTTGTTGTCAGTTAAAAATATATTAACATCAGATGAGAGAGAATGTTCACATTATTTTTTAACGTGTTGTCAATTAAAAATATATTTACATTATATAATAATATAAAAGAATAACATCAATGTTATTTAATTTGTGTATGAAATTTCATATACCTTGATCATTTCTTTTCTCTCTCCTCCCTCCAACATTAAAGCCTGGTTTGGGTACCCATAAAAAAGTCAAAAAATTAAAAAGTTATCATTATTCATCCAAAAAAAATATTAAAAAATTAATTTTACACAATATTCTTTTTCAAACAACTCTGGAGGTAGAGCAACGGAGGTAACATTTGGGAAAAATTGCACTTATTTAGGTGTACAAATAGCACGGTATTGTTCGGCCCGTGGGGCCCATTACAGATCCCTTTTTAATAATCCGAATCGTTCAATATCTAGAACTCGTCGAGTATTATATGTCTGAAAAAAATCACATTGATCAAATATCGGTAACTATATGATCAAATCAGTTAAAATTTATAAAATGGATGGTGTTATAGTTAATGGTTGAAAACAAACTAATCCGATCAGATAGCTATCGATATCCGATCAACGTGATTTTTTACAAAAATATAGTACTCGACGAGTTCCACACATTTTACGGTTTCGATTAACAAAACGGGACCCGTGGTGGGCCCCCACATGCCAAACAGCACCCCTAATTCAATGCCTGAAAAATAGGGAATCATTTCCCAGTCTCTACACTGCTAACTCTGTCCCTAAATTCAGCCTATCCGACAGTCTGTTCCATCCAATCTTCTCCTATACACTAATTTATACAATTTTTTAATACATACTTTTTTGTAAAAAGTTAAAAAGTTATCCCAAACAATCATCTTTTTTCCTCAACTTTTTAGTCCAAAAAGTCAAAAAGTGCATTTATTTAGGACACTCCAAACAAACCCTAAATATCAACGCTAAATATCAATATTAAGGCCTAGTTTTGGAAGATTAAATAAGTGCATTTTTTGACTTTTTATGAAATATGAGTTGGGTTTGGGTTGGGTTTGAAGTGATGTGACTTAAATAAGATGATGTGACTTAAATAGGATAGTGACTTTTTGACTTTTTGTCTTTTTTCAATCATGCCAAACTTGGCCTAAATATAAGGGTATAAGAGTCTAAGGCTTCGTTTGGGAAGAATGGGTTGCATGGGTTTGAGACTATTTAGTCCAATAAGACAAAATATCACATCTAACCTATAATCATTATATTATTTCTCTCACAAAAACTCAAAAAAACCAAAAAAAATCCTTCCTAAATGAGCCGTTTTAGCTTTAAGCTAAAAAAATTAAAAAACCAACCTACTTTCCAAACGAACCCTAAGAAAATAGTGTAAATCAAGAAAAAAGAACTTTATAAAATAAAAGTATAAATATATAAGACTAAGTGGATTAAAAAATTTCTTTATAAACTTTTTGAGTTAGAACACTTCTAAATTAGATTTATCAATTAAAAATCTCAAAAAATAAATTAAATGCAAAGGTCTAAGATTAACATTATTTTTTTCATGGGTGGGCCTCACCTGTGGTCAAACTTCATGCGATGATCGAGGGAGGCAGGACCCAAAACGGGCCCACTATAAAGTTTTCGGTCCAATTGTTGGCCCCCTTGGCTTGGGCTCCACCAACCATTCAAAACTTTTTGACCATTTCAAATGGATCCAACGGGCCACAATTACTTTACCGACAGCACTAATAAATACGGAAAAAATATTTGGGAGCATTAAAAAAGAAGCACTAGAAAGAGCACTAGTGATATGATAGAGGGTCCTGTTTATTTTTTATGCCTTATTTTTTTTTTCACTATTATCAATGTATTAGTCTATTAATGATATATTTTTAGTAATCTAAATCATTGTTGAAAATACGATCACTCACCACTATCATCCTCAAGTTGCCAGCACTACACAGTCCTGTTCAGAAATATTGGCCCATCATCCGCTTTTAAGCGCGTTACTTTATTTTTTTTCACTTAAAATAGCATAAATGTTAGGAAATTTTTTTTTGGATTTGATTCAATTTTAAATGGAGAAATATTAAAAGAGTAGAGAGTGCAAAATTAATTTTAAAATAATAGAGGTAAATAAATCTTGTACATTCATTACGTAACAATTATCACCATTACCAATCTTAAGTTGCCAGTATAACACAACCCTGACTATAGTAAAAATATCACTCATCATCGGCTTATAAGCACGTTAGTTTACTCTCTTCACTTAAAATAGCATAAATGTTAGAGCTAGCATAAATGACTAGCATATAATTTATAAGTGCTGCTATTAGTATTTATCAAAATTCTTTGGACCCCCTATTTTATAATTTTTTTTATTACAATTGTATTCTAAAGTAAAATTACATTAAAAGACATTATTAAATGGACCACCCACCTATCAATAAGAACTAATACTTTATAATATTGGACCCCCATCCCCACCTCCACCTCCAACTCCAACTATACGTATTCTATGTTTGTAAACCCTAAACCTATTACTTTTCATAATCAACTAATATAAACCCTAAATCTATTATTTTTCATAATCATCTTAAATCCTGAATATGCCATCTTCATCACCATCATCAACGCTATTGAACTTGAAAGTTTTGCTTCAAGTATAACGCATACTTCATCATTTATTTTACTGTGTAGAGCAATGGAGGACGCGGACAACAATTCTAGTGAGACCGGCGTTCCATTAATAAGTTTATCTGTTTTGTATTAACATTCTCGGTCATTTTCGGTCATTCTTGTTTCGTTCAAGCTATTTGGTACCAGTTTGTTGATTGTTAGAATTATGTTCGGTAATACAGTACTGAATATAATTCTTTCGCTCAATACATAGGTTCCGAACATTAATACAGATAGTCAGTTATGTAATTTTCTTTGTTAAACTAACTTAGAATGGAAAAGAGTGAATTGAAATGGATTTAAGTTATGTATTTTGAATGGATTTAATTCATGTTATTTTAAGTTATGAATTGGAATGGATTCAAGTTACACAGTGATGAACAAATTTTGTTCGAACATACAGTGCTGATAGGATCATTATTGTTCGACAAAACCGTTCTGAACAAAATACATTTTTTCGGCTATACAGTGGTGAACAAATTCAAAATCATCACTCGAATCTGCTGATCTCCTATCGAGATTCTTGAATTCAAGGCATTTAGATGAAAGCTTTAATCTGGTTATTCTAGATTGTCTCCAAAAACCCAGATGTAGAAACTGAGATTCTCAAAGAAATTAATGAGAAATCCGAAGCTCCGATCTACAAAGAAGTGAAAGACATGGTTTACACATACGTGTCGTTGAGCGAGACCATGAGACTCTACCCACCCATCCCCATTGACGGAAAGCAAGCTTTAAAGAACGACGTGTTTCCAGATGGGATAGTAGTGAAGAAGGGTATGAGAGTGAATTACCATCCTTACGCAACGGGGAGGTTGGAGGAACTGTACTGGACCAAAGCTCCAAACTCTGAAGATTGAGTGAGTCAGGAAAGGAAAGGGATGGAAAATTAGGTGGATGTGCATTTCATTGTGAAAATATTATGAATATGGGTAGATTTGGTAATAAGTGGGGTGTCCAAAAAAATATTATTAAAATTTAGGGTTTAGGGTTGGGGTCCAAAAAAATGGGGGGTCCAAAGAATTTTGGTAGGTACTAATAGCAGCACTCATAATTTATTTATTTATTTTTCGATGTGAGATTGTAAAATAAAAAGTAAATAAAAGGTATTTAATGAGTATTTTCTTAATTTTTTAAAATTAAAAAAATTTAATAATTTTAAAATGAGGATTTGGAACTTCTATAAGGCTTTTTCCAAAAATTTCATTTTTCTTATATAATATATAGATTTGTTAGCCAAAAGTATTATTTTTAAATATTTTTAAAATTATAAAATTAGCAATTTTAGTTTTTTCTAATCTATAGTTATTTTATTAGCCAATGGTACTATTTTTTAAATTACAAAAATTAACAATTGTGGTTTTACGTTCTTCTTAATCTATAATTTATTTTTTTAAATTAAAAATATATAATTATTTTATTATGAGATGAGATTTGTGTGTTTTTTTTTTTTTAAATGTATAGTTAATTTGATATGAGATAAGATTTAGAAAAGAGATAAATATTGAGGGGAGAGAATTTAAGAACTTATAATTCAAAATTTTAGGTGATTTTTTATTTTTTTTAATTTATAATTACTTTGTTAGTTAACAAAATTATTTTTAAAATTATAAAAATTAACAATTGTGAAATGAGACTTTGAAGTTCTTACAAGTCTTCTCATTAAAAATTCATTTTTCATTATGTAATATATAGATAGATAGATAGGTAAAAAAATAATTTTAAAATAACAATATCATAATATATATTAGCACGCTAATTATTTTTTTAATTTGTGCATATAACACCATTGATACGATTTAGTTTAAATTAAATCGATTTGAGATTTTTTTTAATTTTTTTCATCAGCCCAATAAATGTCGCGCACGCATTATACAAGCGCGTGCGACTAGCATATAATTATCACCGGCTAATCACTGCTTAAAAAAATTCAAAAACAAAGTGGTAGTTTTGCAATACCGTTGAAGTGTGTGGACATTTCAGTGAGGCAGCTTTCCATAAATACCGAGAAATCTGCTGGTTTTCTGTAGCGTCTTCCAGGTTTCTCAGCGGAGAGATAAAGGTGCCTCTCTCTCTCTCTCTCTCTGGATCCCAAAATCTAGGGTTTCCCTTCTCAAGATCGAGCTCTTTGATTTTCTGTTTCAACTTTCAGTACTAAAATTGTAGCTTTCTGTATGGATAATTACTGACTTTACGTACTATTTGGTGAGTTTAATCACACAAATTTTCAATTTGGTGTGTAACCTGTGATATCATTTTCAACTGATACAATCAATAAGATCAAGATCTATGATTCTCATTTCAAGACTGAAATTGAAGATTTTGTTTATTATCTGCCATTAGTTGTGTCGATCCATGCTCGCAATTGCTGTACTTGTACTGATTACATTTTGTGACATGGCACACAAATTTCAAGTTAGCTCGAATAGAGTTTGTGTAATATGTTTATCGAGTGGATTTGTTTATGGTTGGTCTGGATTTAGAGTAATGTTGATTAGTTTTGAATGAACTACTCTAGAAATTAGAGGAATGATGAATGTTTGTTCTTTCACAGCAATATTTGATCCTGTAGCAGTGGAAAGTTTTTGAAATGTTATCGATTTGCTTCAGAAAGAATTTTACTAAAGAAAATACAGGATCTTTTTGTGATGTGTATTCAGCCAGTTTCAATTTCTTTTAACACATTTCAAAATTATTGTTTTTTTTGGTTGAAATTTCTTATCCAAAACATATGAAGACTTGGTTTTAAGGTTGAAACGGGTTAATACATGTTTGTTTTTATGTATCTGCTTTGGTTTTCCCATGTGGTTCTTTGCATTTTGTGTGGGATCGGTACTGTGATGGCTTCCGAAGAAGTAAGAAGGGTACGTTGTAAATATATTTGAGTTCACAAGGATTTCTTGTGCATGTTAATTCATCAGGTTTTGTCAGTATGGAGAGCATGAACAACTTTTGTCAACTGGGTGATGAGCTTCGAGGACAATTGAAAACCTCAGAGGATCACAAGTGGTTAATGGTTGCTTCTAAACTTGCTGATCAGACCAGATCAAAGGGCGAGCGAAGGAATAACCTTGATCTCTCAAAGGGCCTAGCTGAAATAAGGCCAAGGGATAATTTTGTCTTTCAGGAAGACAACAAATTCGAATGCCTTAACTTCAACATGTTAAATTTGGACGCCAAAATGACAGAAAATGTGAACAAAAGTTCGACCAGGAATGGTATGTACAATATGAATGCTGTGTATCAGAAGAGCAATGGCAACAATGTGGGAAGCATGATTGGAAGCAAGTATAGCATCAACAACCTGAACAAAGAGCTCAACAGCAGCATCAACAACAACAACAACAACAACAATAACAACAACAATGATAATACCAATATGAGTGCAGTTGACAAAAGGTTCAAAACCTTGCCTGCAGCTGAGACACTCCCGAGGAATGAAGTGCTTGGTGGATACATTTTTGTTTGTAACAATGACACAATGCAGGAAGATTTAAAGCGACAACTATTTGGTAATAATAATTTTTTTATCTTTTTCCATTGTAGCTTTGATTTAATTGGATTAATTGGTTGGAGCATCTTATTTGTGTTATTTGACATCTATTATGAAATACAAGGTGAACATGCTCATCAATCTAGAGGCGTTTTATTTTACACTTATTTTTAGATGGATACTAGCCAAACTAATCCTTGTGTTCCAATCAAGTGGTGTTGACTGCTGGAGAACTAAAATGAATAGTTTATTGGGATGTTAACTTACTGTCATCCTGAAACCCTACCAATTGTTGTTTGAGTTGTGATTTCGCCTATATTTCTAGTTGCCTGATGTAATTTTTTTATGATAATATGCTGGTCATGATCATAATCTTCTTCTTTTTCTTTTATAAACAGTTCTGGCGAAATTTATTCGTGCTTGTTGATAAATCACACCCATTTTGTAGGTTTGCCACCAAGATACAGGGACTCTGTCAGGGCAATAACACCAGGCTTACCTTTGTTTCTATATAACTATACCACTCATCAGTTGCATGGGATTTTTGAGGTTTGTCATTAACTCCTTTTCAAATTGTTTGTTGGTTGATAAAACTTTAATGATGATTATTTATCGGGAAAAAAACACTTTAATGATGATAAAATTGTCTTGTGTGTCGTTTTAGTATTGGGATTAGAGAGCTATTTTTGTGATTATCACTTTTCCCTTCTGAATTGAGAAATGAGCCTTGCATATAATTATTTTTCTTGTTTTACTAAATTGAGGATTGGGTGGTGATTAAGCTTGCCGTTGATTAAATTAGTTTGGCTGGGAATCCTTTTTAAATTCTCAAGTTATTTTTGTTACCGAGTTGCTTCTTCCTTTCAGCAAGCTAGAATGTGTAAATTGTAATATTTTTTGATTAGTTTAGCAGTTTTGCAACCATGTGGTAGTTGCACAAATTTGTGAACAATTGTTCCTAAAATTGTTCTGTACAGGCAGTGAGTTTTGGAGGATCTAATATTGACCCTACTGCTTGGGAAGACAAAAAATGTAGAGGAGAATCCAGGTTCCCTGCACAGGTAAAATCTGGATGTATATGGATTTAAACACTTTGATTCTATAAGCTTGTTGGAGGCTTGCAACTGACTGTTCTGTTTTCCTTTTCAATTAGGTGAGAATCCGTATTAGGAAACTCTGCAAGGCTTTGGAGGAAGATGCTTTTAGGCCAGTCTTGCATCACTATGATGGGCCCAAGTTTCGACTTGAACTCTCAGTCCCCGAGGTATGATGAATAGGAGTTTTATTTAAGGGTAGGGGTGACAAACTTATCCTGAAACTGTGAACTCATCCAATTTCACCCATTTAAACACATTCAAAATCATAAACAGGTTTAAATGGGTTGCATCTTTTGAAACAATTTAAAATTGGGTTTAAATGGGTTGGACATGGTTACCAGTTGGCTTTGGATAAAAAATAAGCAATAAAGCTAGGAACCCCTCACCACCCCACCACCGTCACAACCTCCACACCACCGTGATCACTCAACGACCTCCACCATCCTGCTACTACCCCACTACTTCCTCCTCATAAAGTAAACGGGTTTGTTGGATTGATTTGTTTGACCTGTACTCAATTCAACTCAATCCGCTTAAACCCATATATTAAAGGAATGGGTATGAGTTGGGTTGTCGTAATGCATAACCAGTTTTGACCCTGTCTGTTTGCCACCTCTATTTAAGGGTTATGCATGTCTCTGTTGTCTCTCTCTATTAATTTTTTTTTTTTTTTTCAGTATGTTGAAACTGATGGTTTTGGATATGCTTGGTATATTATTGCAGACGCTGGACTTGTTAGATCTCTGTGAACAGGCAGGCGTTTAAAGTCCAGTTGCTAACATAATCGACTCTCCTGCGCAAGCAAGTGTCAATAGTATATGTGTATCGTGGTAGGTTTTGTGGTGCATGGAAGCTGTTTACTGCACAGATTTTCCGGTAAAGCGCAAGCTTGGGAGGTAAAGTCTGGTGTGGGAATCTCTCGAGCAGAGAAGGCTTGTACCCCAGTCAAATAAGTTAAATTTAGTATAAATTGTATTGTGAAGTTACTTTGTGAGTACGAGAGTACTATGCATTCTATAGCGAAGTAAATCCTATGGATAATACTTGTTTGATGGAAAGAGACTAATGGCCTATGGCTGTGTTACTGTGTAATGGTTTAGTCGTCAAAAGATGGCTGCCTTGTTATGTTCCTACTAAGTGCTATGGAATTACGTTCCTAATAAGATAGCTGCCTTGTTGTGTTTGATATTGAATTTGTTGTATTTTTACTTTTTTCAATCGATCGATATAAGTATTTACAAGAGAATTTTAATCGGACAATCATAGTGCAACAGATATATAAGTCCAACAAATAGCTGATGAAGAGCTTGCGCACAAGTCCAACAACAACTTGAGAAAGTCATGTAATAGAGAAGAAATAAAATTACACAACAGGATTTGATCTCTGTCAAATACTTTGTTTTTTGTTTGTTTTGAGAACCAGTCTCTGCCAATTGAGTTAACTCAATTTGAATTTTGAATTTGAAGATGAATTTATTGAAAAGGAGTTAAACTCAGTTTGGATCTTGAATTTGAAAATGGTTTTAAGAAAAAAAAAGAAGAAAGAAATGAAAATGGATTTAAGAAAAAAAAAAAGAGGAAATGTAAAACAATTAATTTATATTTCATTCATATTTTTCTCTCCAAACAAATCACTCCTCAAATATTAAATTCAACCACAACTTACTAGAGTCTGATTTGCTGGATTCAAACATCTGAAGAGTAAATCACTCCTCAAATATTAAATTCAACCACAACTTACTAGAGTCTGATTTGCTGGATTCAAACATCTGAAGAGTTTAGTGTAAGACTAAATTATTTATTTAGTCATTATATTGATCCACATGATATGGTAATATGAATTAGAAATTTGGCTGGATTATGATTTCATATTTTTAGTTATAATTAATTGGTAAATAAAGAAGAGTGTTTTCTAAGTATCCTACTTTGATGGAAAAGTGGAATCATTGTTGAATAAGGAAACTGGTCCTCTCTCTACCTATAAAAGGACATTCAAACTACCCATCAACTTAATTCTGAATTCAAGGTATTTTAAAGAAGGTCAAGAGAGAGAAACCCTTTTCCACTAATATTATAAAGAGGAAATGTAAAACAATTAATTTATATTTCATTCATATTTTTCTTCTCCAAACAAATCACTCCTCAAATATTAAATTCAACCACAACTTACTAGAGTCTGATTTGCTGGATTCAAACATGTGAAGAGTTTAGTGTAAGACTAAATTATTTATTTAGTCATTATATTGACCCACATGATATGGTAATATGAATTAGAAATTTAGCTGGATTATGATTTCATATTTTTAGTTATAATTAATTGGTAAATAAAGAAGAGTGTTTTCTAAGTATTCTACTTTGATGGAAAAGTGGAATCATTGTTGAATAAGGAAACTGGTCCTCTCTCTACCTATAAAAGGACATTCAAACTACCCATCAACTTAATTCTGAATTCAAGGTATTTTAAAGAAGGTCAAGAGAGAGAAACCCTTTTCCACTAATATTATTATTAGGTTTATGTTCAATCAATTTTGGGTCACTTGAAGGTTTCGCATAATTGATCCGGGTATGTTATTTATTTTCCGCATTATGTTATTATTTGTGAAAATCATGATAGTTCACGATTTTGGATTATGAAGGTTGTTATATGAATAACACCATAAAATTAATTTACATGTGGTATCAGAGCTCATGTTTCAGAACATTATGATTTTCCAATTAAGTAAATATCAATTAATTTTGATTACAATTATGATTGTCTCGATTCAAAATTTTTAATTTACTGAACATGATATGAAATTTAATATGCAACTCTTATGTTCCTACTTTAGGTTGGATTGTGTATTATATAAATAATGTTTATTTCATGAGTGCGAACTCCTTAATGATAAACCGAATGTTTTAATATTTTAATAATTGAATACTATGAATGATTTAATTATTTTTATTATGGGGAAAGGTTTAGTGGATAATGACCATTGCATTATTAGATTTAGTAATGCCTAAAGATATTCGCATTACATAATGAATCATTATTATTCATGTTTTGCTAAATTTTATATTATCAAAGTTTACTGTGAGGCACATTAAAGTGTTATTGTGATCTTTATAGTACTGAGCATATTACTATTTATGGATCTAACTGTAACCTCTAAAAAATTATTTTAGTACGATGTTATTACCACCATTATGTATAAGCTTGATTTTTATAGGTGGTTTGATGAGGTACAAAAGTATATATTCTTTTGTGATATAGAATATGAATTGTGTTAATATTTATTGTCTTAATATTATTCTTATGATTTAGTAATATGTATCATGATTATGATGATGAATAATTGTGAATAAATTATTATTTATTCAATAATGTCCATGCAAAGTTTTTATTGTGATTTGAAATTTAAATTATGATACAATTGGTAGTTGCCAAAGTGAGCCAATCGGAATGACACATTGATATCAAATCAAATAATTGAAATTTAATATCCTTCCCAAGTATTAAAAAATAATGACTTTGCAAATCACAATTCTTTAATTACAAATATATTAGGTTGGCCCAAAGGTGCATCGCTTCTAAGTAATTGTTGAATTGTAATAGGATAGTTGATGGGTATTCATAATTGATATTGAAATGAATACCCAAAGGTAACAGACCTACTTAATTATGAATATTTTATCAATTAGTCCTATTGGTGAAAGAGAATCACCATAATTGTTAAATAGTATGCCATTAGATTATTCCAAAGGTAGATCACGGTAATACTATTTGTGATTGTTTAAACATGTGTTTATCTTGACTAATTGTCAATTATTGATTACTCTTAGCATTAATATAGTGAACATAAATTATTGATTAAAGTTTTATTTCGCTATATTTGTATGCTTTGTTTGTTTCGATTTTAAATGAAAAAAGATTTATCAAAATAAATAAAATAAGTTCAGTTTCATCTCGATGTCTTGAATTTTGACTTAGTGTTATTGTTTGAGAAATTTACTGCTATTATGATTCAAGTAATATACAAGAAAGAAAAGACTTTTCATAAAGTATAAAAGGATTGAACAACTAAAGTTTGTGTTTTTTATGTGAATGATTATAGGAGTTTTAACTTTCTTAAATTGATAATGCTAAAGAACTTTTTCTAATTGTTAATAAGTTTTTGCTGAGACACTTATGGTTAAACTTACCAACATAAAATTTGATGGTATGCATGAGATGTATGAGCATGTCATTGGATTGTCTAACTTGACTGCTCAATTAAAGAATTTAAGAATATTTGTAAATAAGTTTATTTTCGTGTAATTTATTTTGAATTATTTATCTCTTCAGTATGGGTCATTTACATTAACCATAATTATATGAATAGTAAGTAGAAAGTTAATAGATTGACTAGTATGCTTATTTAAGAAGAGATAAAACTTAAGTAATTGAGATATCATTTATTGATCTTGTAATTCAAGAAGCCGAAAAGAAAGGGAGAATGCTTATAAAAGGACATATAGAAATAGCCACATAAAGAAAATGAGTCTTCTCAAGATTTTCAGTCTCATAAGAAAGAAAATGGCTATTCATGTTTTTAATACGGTGCAAGATTATTTTTAAACCAATTATGTTAAAATCTCCAATTAAAATTATTGGGTTATTGTTTATTTTTGAAAATTATTTATTGAATTGTCCAAACTTAATTAACCTTGATGGTTATTTTAAAAAATTTAGAATAAAAAAGTTTAATTTATTGATAATACCATTTCTATTAATTTTGGTATTATTTCTGATGGTTTGTATAAATTAAAATTTAATGATTTATCAAAAATTTAATCTATCTTGCATCATTATGTTGGTCCTAAATATAGTTTGATAAATAAAAACTCTTTAAACTTGTGGCATAAAAGATTTTATTGCTTTTAGTGAGAGTGTGGGTTGCATTAAGGAAAAGCAATTCAATCACATTGTAAGTGCCACAAGATATACAAGGCTTCTTCATATTATCCAAATAGACATTAATGTGCCCTTTTGACACTTCATGTTTGGTAAATAAAGTTATTTTATCACTTTTATAGATGAATTTTCACCTTATGATTTTTGTTTATTTATTGCAGAACAGATCTCCAGTAAATTGACACATTGATATGTACATTATTAAAGAAGAAAGGCAATTAAACAAAAATGTGAAAAATATAAAGATAGTGCAAAACACAAGTCTATTTGCTAAACTCTATAAAAGGCATAATGCCTCAGCAAAATGATGTGGTTGAGGAACATTATTGTACTCTAATGAATATGACTAAGAGTATGTTAAATAAATACCATTAATATTGTGAATGTATGTCGTTATAATTTATTGTTTTCATATAGCATCTGGTTCCTAGTAAGGCAGTTTCAAACACTCATTTTGAATTGTGAACAGGAAGGAAACTGAATTTAAAACACCTGCATGTTTAAGGTTGTCTACAAAATTATAATTATTGATCCACATGAAAAGAAATTAGATTTTAGAATAATCAGTGGTTATTTTGTTGATTATCTTGAAAATTCAAAGGGTATTAGTTTTACTATCTTGGTCATAGTACAAGAATTGTAGAAACCGATAATATCAAATTTAATAAAAATGGTGAAATTAGTGGGAGTGATAAATCATGAAATGTGGTTATTCAATAAGTTTGGGTACAAGTATCATTACCCATAATTTGAAGGAAACTGTCGTTCCTATAGTTGTTAAACAACTTAATGTTTTGGAACAATAAATGAATAACCAATTACTCCATGATATAATTATCACCAATGAAAAGTTGTAGAAGAACCACAAGAAATAATATTAAGAAAATCTCATAAGGTAAAGGGATTTGTCATTTCGAATGATTATGTGGTATATCTATAATAATCTTATTATAATATTAGGATAAGTAAAGATTCAGTTATATTGTCACAAGCCATAGAAAGTATTGATTCTACTAAAGAAATTGATGTCATGAATGATGAATTGAAATCAATGGACCAGAATGAAATTTGAGATTTCATTGAATTGCTTAAGGATACAAAAATATTTATTGTTCTAAGGGTAATATAAAATGATATAATGCTAGATATGTGGCCAAAGATTTTACCCATAAAGTAGACATGGATTACAATGAGCTATTCTTTTTTCACTTGTATCTTAAAGGGTTGATTTAGAATCATTATGACATTAGTAACTTATTA